ATCACCAATCCTTTCTGTTGGACACTAACTGTCCAACAAGATCCTCCTGCATCCACAAGGAACAACTCTTAAAAAACCCAGTGGGAAAAAGTGAGAAACCTTGGGGAGAACTAGGGAAACCCACAGGGAGGGAGACCCATATGAGAAAGGGATCCGCTCCTCCGGACGGACAGACTAATGATCCAGGACCTAAGCTAGCTACAGAACGTGGACCAGTGGCCGCTGAACGTGGACAGGTCCGGTGCAGGACCGAAGCACTCCCAGGCGGGTCGGGCGGGGCAGTCCGCAGGTGTAGATGGAGGAGGCCAGGCTCAGAGATCCCGTCATCGTACCATGAAACAGACAATGGGACAACGGGTGAATAGCAATGAACAAACTACAGTCAAAATCCTAAAAATGCTAAACAGATAAAGTAGGAAGGAGGAGAGGATAGTGCTCAAGTTACCATACTTCTCCCAGCAAACTGACTCTCTATGCAGCTTGACTGACAGTCTGAGGAGTACAAGGTTTAAGTGCTCGACACGTCCATACTACTGCTTGTAAAACAGCCCAGAGGTGGTGCTTTGGTTCAGCTCCATCTGTAGTAGTGCCCCACCTCGTGTCTGCTCTTAGGTCACTCTGATGTGACGCAAACAAAGCAGACGAATCCTGCTGTGATTTTCTGGACTTCCTCATCTATCCTGATGTGAAGAGAAGTCTCCCTGTTTAGACCTGATGTCGCTCCAAATTTGAGTAGTTCTGTAGTTTGAAAAATCCTTTTAAATTTTACAACTTATCATCAGAACTACAGTGCCTTGCGAAAGTATTCGGCCCCCTTGAACCTTTCAACATTTCGCCACATTTCAGGCTTCAAACATAAAGATATAAAATTTAAATTTTTTGTCATGAATCAACAACTAGTTGGACACAATCGTGAAGTGGAACGAAATTTATTGGATAATTTAAACTTTTTTAACAAATAAAAAACTGAAAAGTGGGGCGTGCAATATTATTCGGCCCCTTTACTTTCAGTGCAGCAAACTCAGTCCAGAAGTTCAGTGAGGATCTTTGAATGATCCAATGCTGTCCTAAATGACTGATGATGATAAATAGAATGCATCTGTGTGTAATCAAGTCTCCGTATAAATGCACCTGCTCTTTGATAGTCTCAGGGTTCTGTTTAAAGCGCAGAGAGAACCATGAAGACAAAGGAACACACCAGGCAGGTCCGAGATACTGTTGTGGAGAAGTTTAAAGCCGGATTTGGATACAAAAAGATTTCCCAAGCTTTAAACATCTCAAGGAGCACTGTGCAAGCAATTATATTGAAATGGAAGGAGTATCAGACCACTGCAAATCTACCAAGACCCGGCCGTCCCTCCAAACTTTCATCTCAAACAAGGAGAAGACTGATCAGAGATGCAGTCAAGAGGCCCATGATCACTCTGGATGAACTGCAGATAACTACAGCTGAGGTGGGAGAGTCTGTCCATAGGACAACAATCAGTCGTGCACTGCACAAATCTGGCCTTTATGGAAGAGTGGCAAGAAGAAAGCCATTTCTCAAAGATATCCATAAAAAGTCTGGTTTAAAGTTTGCCACAAGCCACCTGGGAGACACACCAAACATGTGGAAGAAGGTGCTCTGGTCAGATGAAACCAAAATCTAACTTTTTGGCCACAATGCAAAACGATATGTTTGTCGTAAAAGCAACACAGCTCATCACCCTGAACACACCATCCCCACTGTCAAACATGGTGGTGGCAGCATCATGCTTTGGGCCTGCTTTTCTTCAGCAGGGACAGGGAAGATGGCTAAAATTGATGGGAAGATGGATGGAGCCAAATACAGGACCATTCTGGAAGAAAACCTGTTGGAGTCTGCAAAAGACCTGAGACTGGGACGGAGATTTATCTTCCAACAGGACAATGATCCAAAACATAAAGCCAAATCTACAATGGAATGGTTCACAAATAGACGTATCCAGGTGTTAGAATGGCCAAGTCAAAGTCCAGACCTGAATCCAATCGAGAATCTGTGGAAAGAGCTGAAGACTGCTGTTCACAAACGCTCTCCATCCAACCTCACTGAGCTCGAGCTGTTTTGCAAGGAAGAATGGGAAAGTTTTCCAGTCTCTCGATGTGCAAAACTGCTAGAGACATACCCCAAGTGACTTGCAGCTGTAATTGCAGCAAAAGGTGGCGCTACAAAGTATTAGCAAAAGGGGGCCGAATAATATTGCACGCCCAACTTTTCAGTTTTTTATTTGTTAAAAAAGTTTAAATTATCCAATAAATTTCGTTCCACTTCACGATTGTGTCCCACTTGTTGTTGATTCTTGACAAAAAATCTAATTTTTATATCTTTATGTTTGAGGCCTGAAATGTGGCGAAATGTTGAAAGGTTCAAGGGGGGCGAATACTTTCGCAAGGCACTGTATATCTGCCATTTCCTGCAAAAAAACAAAAAGCCTTTTACTCCAAGTAAAGGTAATTTATTTAGATATTTATAGGAAAACTAAACTCCAAATCAACTTTTTTTAAACTTGTAAACTCCCTCTCTCTTTCTTATAGTGCTCTCTACATGTCCTGGTCATTTAAAGAACTAGTGGGACTTGGGTTTAAAGTGATTGTCTTGAGTTTGTCAGGAAAAAAAGAGAAAGAGGTACATTATTTGAAAAAAACGACTCAAGCTCCCTCTCCCTTCCTTTCTGATTGGTCTACGCCTACATTTCCGTAACGATCAATCAACACATTTAAATGTTAAACGAAGAACACATTATACATATACATACATTATTAATGTATGTATACTTACCCGTAATATTAGAATTCATAAAATTACTTCTTTTATATCAACATTTAAGGCCAGGAGGTCAATTTAATACAATTCTTAAAATGTGTTATTCATTTAGAGTTCCAGACTATCACTTTAAAGTGGTCGTTTAAAGTAAAACACTACTGTTTGGTATTGTGTTCGATTATATAACATAGAAGAGACTAGTGGGGATCTCTACTCTAGCCTACCGTTAGGCAACTTTGTTTTACTGAGAAGTTGTAACTAATACTAGTAAGTAAATACTATAGTCTGAAATGCAGTAGAATTTAGTAAAGTTAATTATTTTAGAATTGTGAACAAAAACCCAAACACTGTCTTCCTGTAAACTTTTGAAGCACTTGCATGTGACTGTATGCAGCGCTGTTAGAACTGTAACCAATTTCTGGACCAAATGTTGACTTTTGTTAATTATAGAGAGAGGTGCAGTTCTACTCTTTGACAATGTTCCTGGATCTGGATCGATCATTTCATCCTTGTTCCATTGGCAAAGTTAATTTCCATTCATAACTTTTTGAAATCATTATTATTATATTGTGTTAAAATCTGGATCAAGCATAAATTGTGCATTTTAGGTAGAAAATTTTGTCCCATTTTCAAACTAAAATAAAGACAGACGAACTGTTTTAACTAAAAAAGATATTCTTATTTTTCACAGTACACTACAATATTATACAAGGCTCACAACACTCATTATCAACATATTGCTTGGATATTGTCATCGTTGTGGCCCATTCAAACAAGTTAATGTGCTGGCATCATTTAGGTCTTTGAAAGATCGGTGTATATCGATTTGGAAGAGGCTCATTCAAAGGCAGGACCAGCACATAGTCTTTTATTTAGCACTGTTTCCACCAGCCATACTTGGCACAACTCTACTCGACTCTTCTGGTTGTGTTTCCATCACACTTTAGTATCTGGTCCCGTATCCTAGCAACCTACCTACAGCAAGCCAGTCACAATAGCTTTCCATAGTTAGAACACTTTAGAGCAAAGCCGTGCTGAGCCGGGGGCAGGGCAGGGCAGGGCAAGGCAAGGGAGGGCAATACATGGCTGACGATAATGAGCCATGTATTCCAATTTTCCACCCTGTATTCCATGTATTCCACCCTAGCCCTAACCCAAAGTCCAATTGCTTAGTTTATTTTTTTTGGAAGTTTTAAGAAAAGATTAGTGCTTATAAGTATTTTTTGGGCAATTTTTCTGAACAGAATGAGGTACAATTGTGTATGGATATACATATAACTGGAGAAGAGGGCTGGCCACTATTAACCAATTTACAGATTTAATTCAAATGTGTTGATTATCAATGAAATTTTCAATGGCTTTGGTTTGAATATGCTTTAAGATAAGGTATACAGTACCATGCCATGGTAGCTAGTTACACAACTTTTCCTCTCTTCTCCTGTCCTCCTTCTCTTCTTCCTCCCTCACTTCTCTTCCTCCTCTTCTCCATGGTAGCTCATACTAAGTTACAAGACTTCTTTGAGTTTATAGAGGTTGATTAACACATTGATCCTTGGAAAAAGCAGATAAATGTTTATTTGTTTATTTGACAGGGATAGTACAAAAAAACACTGTCACCGACAGGTAAACAATGTCAAGTACACAGGCCTTCTAGCCTAAGGCTAATTTTCAGCCCCTGTCCCTGGTAAGGCTTTTGGAGAACAGTCAAAAAACAAGTTTAAAAAAGAGAGGAGTAAACAACACATCAATAAAAATACTAACTGGCCCCATTTGTCCATACTACATCCTTTTTTAGTGCTCACAGATGTGAGGCCTTCACTGCAAATGCAGACTGACCCAGAGTCGTCCGGCACCTTCTAACTCTGCAGCTCCCACTGACTGCAGCTCAAGTCTGCACACCCTCACTGCTGCACCTTTGCATATCTTTACACATTACTTCAGGGGCTAATCCATTAAGACACAAGTAAAAATAGCTTTTAAAAAGGTGACATTTATAAAATCAATAATCAAATTTCAAATCAAATTTATCAATAACCGATCATGAGACAAAATATTGGCTGTATTACATTATTGATATTTTGGTCGTATAGGGTCCAAAGGCACATACTGTTTGCCTCAATTGTGTCTATCTGCCTCATGGCAGCTGTGGCTCCAGTTTACCATCACCCTTTACGCAGTTTATTGGCTGGCTTTTGACGTTCTTGTCTTGCTCCCACAGGTGATGGCGTCCCAAAAGAAAACAGTCCCTTTATCAACAACACAGACAACGACAAAGCCAACGCCAACAGCAACAGCTACGATGGCACCAACATGGCACTTTTTGAGGTAAGCAGCGCTGATCGGAGCGCCACATGTTAAAGGACACATCAGGTCACTTCTATGACCATTGGTTCCATTGTTTTGTAAAAACATATTGTCTAGAATTTGACGTTATTTCAAAACATGAAATACAAATGTATTCAAAACACTGTTTATGGATCAGTGAATATGATGTGTGTGCGGCTGTAAAGAGAGTGGAGAGGAGACTGAGGAGGAGACTGGAGAGGAGACTGGGTCACCTGCGGTTGTCATTGGGCCGACCTTAGCTCTCTGCAGTCAGTCTGTTTTATAGAAGGAGCTGCTGATTTGTAAACACTCTGCATGGTGCTTATCCACAGGCTGTTTCACCAAACATCCAATCACTCCTATCTAAGCAAAGACTGCTATAATGACTGGTGTGTGTCCCCGTAGGAGGAGATGGACAGCAATCCCATGGTATCCTCACTCCTCAACAAACTGGCCAACTACACCAACCTCACCCAGGGAGCCCAAGAACACGAGGAGGCAGACGAGGACGAGGGCGCCAAGAAGAAAGCTGTCAAGGTACCAGCTCCACAAACACTGAGGAGAAGACAAGATATTGGATCTTTTTTTTGTCTTTAATCACTGTGACATTACTGCTAATTTACACAGGAGGTGTTACAGCACGTACGCGCAGAAGACGCGCGTAATTTTTCCATGTTAACCAATGGTGATATTTACACTAGTAGTGTCATACGCGCGTATGACGGACGTATTGACACGAGGCTGCGCCTAATTTAGGATGGATTTCTAATTTTGTGCGCGCAGCAACGCGTCTCCCAGTCAAAACACATAGGAAACAGGATTCTAGCAGTCCTTGGCTCTAGATTGCATCCACATACGCACGCACGCTCGCAGGAGCAGCAGGTTTTACAGTGATTCTGGACATCGGTTTTTTTCTTTCATAAAGTCTGGCGTCTGGCCAAACCAGCGCACAGAGACCATGAAGACAAACACACATGTGATTTGTGTTGCTCTACATCAGTCCTCTGGCCCGTACTGTCCTCTACACTGCTCCATAGACTACACAGGGAGAGCATCAAAAGCCGCGGACCTGCGCGCACGGCCAGTGAACATACAGCCAAGTAATGTTACGCACATATGCGCGCAGTAAACACTTACGCGCTGTTAACGCCTACTGTGGAAATTCCCTGTTAGACCTACACACACCTGCCCTCCTCTGCCCAACGGCACCAGTGTTTCTGAATGAACACAAAGACCCTCGGTTTTCTAAGTTTCTTGTGTCATTCATTTAAATCCGGGATCTCTGAGCCAGTCCAAAAAGGGCGGGTGTGGACATTTTTTCCATATGAAATATCAGCTATTGGCCCGAAAGTCTTCCCAATATCCAAACCCAGTACAAGTAATCATTTGTTCAAAACACCTCTATAATGTGAGTAAATGCACAGAATTAACTACAAGTGATAGACAAAAATGTTCTCTTCTTTCTCTCCTTCACTCTCTTCCCCATCCTCTACTCCTCTCCTCTTCTCTCCTCTCCTCTCTCTCCTCTCCTCTCTCTCCTCTCTCTCCTCTCCTCTCTCTCCTCTCTCTTCTCTCTTGTCATATCCTCCTCCCTCTCTCCTTCTCCTCTCTCTCCTGCAGACTGTAGTCAACAGTCTGTCTGTATAGGAATGCTGACAAATACAAATATAAAAAGTAAAATATGACAGAGGACTGAATCCCTTCCAGATGTCTGCTGCATGAATAAGTATAGGCCTGTGTCCAGATCCAGATCAGGCTCCACGGGACCAGCCCATCTCCACATCTGGGGAGGGAGCCTCTCTGGGCCCCTGCTGAGGGGCACATCTGTCCCATCCTCTGACACAAGGACACTTACTCAGGGTTAACCTGCCACGCTTGTGTTTGGATGACTCAATATTATCATTTCAGAACATAACAACATAAAAATTATTCCTGTACACTTACTTTCCAAATAAACATTTATCGGAAATGCCACGGGCCGACCTTAAGCCTTCATCAAGCAAACATGAAATGAGCACGAGGAAGCCATCTTTAGCAGGGCGGGGCTGGCACCTGAGGGCGTGCAGTCACCACACCCATACCACAGAGCATTTCACAATAAATCACACATTCAGATGAGTAAAAAAGTCACATATATAATAAATGTATACATTTTCAATACGAGGAAAAAATATATGTAGATAATCTGAATATAAAGGGTCACTGGCTGGCCCCAGTTTGCTTTTGGATTTCACCATATACACAAAACACAAACATATCCTCCTGGAAAAGTATGGGCCTGTACCATCACGTCAATGTACAGTTCCTTTAACACCAGAAAACCCAACCGAAATTGGCCCCTGTTTTGAGAAGAAGGAGCTAACTTGCTAGGTTGGCTGCTAACATTTGCATGTATTGATTTGCAAATGTAGGTAATGACTTATAACAGCAGGGGGCTGGGGTGGGCTTTGTTTATTCGTGCGGGGGAGGGAGAGCTGCAAGAGAGTACTACAGTAGTCTGTGAGACCACAGGTACACATGTGCTGTGTACCCTGAGAATGCGCTGTATATATTTTGTAATCAGTTTTTCTCAGTGTCTTTGGTGCATTTTTTACATAATTCTTCACATTTTAATAACAGTTAGTGCATTTCTCAGAACAATGAGTGCAAACTGCAAAACCTCATGGATAACCTGCTAAAAAGTCACTTTCTCAAAATGAACTTAATTCCTCAAAAGAAAGTCTTCATGTCAATGAAACTGTGTCTCAAAAGAATAAGTCCTGACACCAGTGTTTATGAACAACAGTCAAATGATTTAGTCATGTTTTCATTGTGACTGTATTTAGTGATACATATGTATGTACTGTATGTTCACATATTTACTGCTTATGCTCTTTGCAATTCTACAGCATTCTGCAACAAAAATAGTACACATACAGTATTTACGTAGAAAAACATACAAAAAATCATTACGGTAGAACCTCCACAACATTGAGTCGTGTGTGACATCATCGCGGCAGTTTCTCCTTTGAACACTTTACAAATGCTTTTGGACATGTATCAGTTACTTTCATACAGTTCTCTGCTGTTTTATAACATTATCATTTGCTTCTGTCCTGTCAATCAGAATGAAACATACTTATCACGACTGAATAGTTTCTGTAAAACCAGTAGTCCTCATTTCATCGCTTTAGTCATCACATACAAAACTGTTCAAAACCAAAATCTGTCAAACTAATTTCATACATTACTTTATCTTTTTATATCCTGAAAATCTTTCCTAATTTTGAATTTCAGCTTCACTCATGACGAGGTGTGTGTTTTATTGTTTACATTTGTCACAGTTCTACCATAATGATATTCTGTATGTTTGCTCTATGTATGTGACTGTATTTCTGTTGCACAATGCTGTAGAATTGCAAAGAGCATATGCAGTAAATATGTGAAAGACATACAGTACACAGACATACATCGAAACACATACATGCACAAACACACACACACAGTAAATACATACATGCACAAACACACACACACATACAGTACATACAGTATAAATGTCCTTTTACTCTCACTAAATACAGTTGTGTGTAACTTTACTGTAGTTTTCAGCTGTACAGTGCTCACCAAGATCAGATTTTTTGCTTTGAAAACACAGAGAGTAAAGTGTCACAATGAAAACGTGACAAAGTCATTTGACTGTTGTTCATACTCCATGTTGTTAAGACTTATTATTTTGAGACAGACAGTTTCCTCGACATGAAGACTTGCTTTTGAGGAATAAACTTTTCATTTTGAGAAGGTGATGCACTTTTGCAGGTTATCCCCAAGGTTTTGCAGTTTGTACTAATTGTTCTGATAAATGCACTAACTGTCGTGCAAATGTGAAGAATTATGTGATAAATGCACCAAAGACACTGAGAAAAACTGTAAGTAGCATATTTATTTTGTAAACAATGTAAATTTATACATTGAATGACGTTGCTTGTTTGTTTTCTTTCAATTCACTTTATTATTTTCATTATTATTTTTTAACTAAAGTCAGCATGACACTAGATTTAACTCATTTTAACTAATCAGATCCTCCCTCTCCCGAAGAAGACAAAGTAAAGTGGTTGAGCAACTTCAGCTCAGCCAGTAGCTGCGTTTCCATTGAATAATGCGCAAAAACTTTTTCGATACATTTCAAAATTTGAAAAACCTGTAATTCGCAAAAGCGGCCGTTTCCATTAAGACATATTCGAATAAGTATACACTATTTTCGCGCGTTTATTTACTAGTTTCTAGTACGTCAACATGGCAACAGAAGTAAACAACACTTTGATTTACGTGAGATATATTAATGTCTTGACTTCTGCTGCGGCTCTCATCCTCTCTGACCTCTGACCCCGGGAGAAACTGTGGCTGCTTTGACAGCTCCGCGAACGCGCGTGGTCATGTACCGAGCGCGGACCATAGACGCGCGCACAGAACCATAGACACGGGTCTTGCCTGTCTCCCCCGTCTCTCCCCCATGCCTCTCCCCCGTCTCTCCCCCATGCCTCTCCCCCGTCTCTTCCCCGTCTCTTCCCCGTCTCTCCCCCATGACTCTCCCCCATGCCTCTCCCACGTATCTCCCAAGTCTCCACACGAAGCGCAGCCAAAACTCACTGAATAAAGCTCAGCTCGGCTTCCTCCGCTATATCGAAATAAGTGTTTCCATTGCCGTTTTGCGAAAAACTTAATTTTGATACGTCCAAAAAACCACCGATTTTAAGCGCATTAACTTTTTATCGAAAAACTGTGGTTTATTCGAAATTTGCGCGTTTCCATTAGACATTTTATGATGCGCAAATTCAAATTTCGAAATTTGATGCTCAATGGAAACGCAGCTAATGATAATGGCCTTATTTACATAACAAAGTTGGCCGTTCACAGGTGATTTAGTTTGTTAGCTAAAATCCTTGGAGTCATTTGGCACCGTGGTGGGCTTTTTAGGTAGAAGTGCCAAATGGCACCTCCATGGGTTTGCTAGTGTTAAAACAGTATGATACAAATATTCAGTATAAGTTGAATTCATCATTTAGACCTTTTGGAGCTGGGGTCTATAATGTACGTCCCAAAGGACACTTTGGGGACACAGAGCTGTTGTTTGTGTGGCTATTATTCATATTAAGTGTGAGGATAACAAAGTGATCAAACACACACTCACATGTACGTATGATGGTTCCGTGGTAACCACCTCCTCTCTCCTGCAGAGCCCCCAGATGGGGACCTTCATGGGCGTGTACCTCCCTTGCCTTCAGAACATCCTGGGGGTCATCCTGTTTCTTCGTCTTACCTGGATCGTGGGCACGGCGGGCATCCTGGAGTCTCTGGCTATCGTGGGCCTGTGCTGCAGCTGTGTAAGGCCACACTGTCTTCTGGGGCAGGGAACACAATAGGAGTGTATATTAAGAGCAGGCTGACAAAGTGTGACATCACTTTGTCTCCTTAATGTAGAAGAGGCCGATTTGAGCTTAAGTATCTACTGCCGTTACGTCACTAATGAGCTGGAGCCATTACGTCATTAATGAGCTGGAGCCGTTACGTCATTAATGAGCTGGAGCTGCAGTAAAACAGTAAAATGATATATTGGCAATAATCAAACTAACTGCAGTTGTAGAAGTCTAATAAAAACTAGAAGTCTATTAACACTAGAATTCCCATGGAGGTGCCATTTGGCACTTATACCTATCATCCCCTCCACGGTGCCAAATGACCCCAAGGATTTTAGCTAACAAACGAAATCACCTGTGAACGGCCAACTTTGTTATGTAAATAGGGCCGTTATCACAGGCTGAGCTGAAGTTGCTTCACTTTGCCATCTTAGGGGGAGGGGGAGGATCTGAATAGTTACAGTTTTTCTCCAGTGGCTTTAGTGCATTTCTCACATCAGACTAAAAGTTCTAACGACTATGAGTTCAACCTCCACAACACTGAGTCATTGGTGCACATCATTGCAGCAGTTTCTTTATCCTATGAACAGTTTACAAATACTTTTGTTCATGTATCAGTTACTTTCGAACAATTATCTGCTGTTGTATAACATTATCATGTGCTTCAGTCAGAATGAAACATTTTGTTTTATAACATTATCATGTGCTTCTGTCAGAATGAAACATACTGTTGTATAACATTATCATGTGCTTCAGTCAGAATGAAATATTCTGTTTTATAACATTATCATGTGCTTCAGTCAGAATGAAACATACTGTTTTATAACATTATCATGTGCTTCAGTCAGAATGAAACATACTGTTTTATAACATTATCATGTGCTTCAGTCAGAATGAAACATACTGTTTTATAACATTATCGTGTGCTTCAGTCAGAATGAAACATACTGTTTTATAACATTATCATGTGCTTCAGTCAGAATGAAACATACTGTTTTATAACATTATCATGTGCTTCTGTCAGAATGAAACATACTGTTTTAGAACATTATCATGTGCTTCTGTCAGAATGAAACATACTGTTTTATAACATTATCATGAGCTTCAGTCAGAATGAAACATACTGTTTTATAACATTATCATTTGCTTCAGTCAGAATGAAACATACTGTTTTAGAACATTATCATGAGCTTCAGTCAGAATGAAACATACTGTTTTATAACATTATCATGTGCTTCAGTCAGAATGAAACATACTGTTTTATAACATTATCATGAGCTTCAGTCAGAATGAAACATACTGTTTTATAACATTATCATGTGCTTCTGTCAGAATTAAACATACTGTTTTATAACATTATCATGTGATTCTGTCAATGAAACATACTGTTTTATAACATTATCATGTGCTTCTGTCAGAATGAAACATACTGTTTTATAACATTATCATGAGCTTCAGTCAGAATGAAACATACTGTTTTAGAACATTATCATGTGCTTCAGTCAGAATGAAACATACTGTTTTATAACATTATCATGTGCTTCAGTCAGAATGAAACATACTGTTTTAGAACATTATCATGAGCTTCAGTCAGAATGAAACATACTGTTTTATAACATTATCATGTGCTTCAGTCAGAATGAAACATACTGTTTTATAACATTATCATGTGCTTCTGTCAGAATGAAACATACTGTTTTATAACATTATCATGAGCTTCAGTCAGAATGAAACATACTGTTTTAGAACATTATCATGTGCTTCAGTCAGAATGAAACATACTGTTTTATAACATTATCATGTGCTTCAGTCAGAATGAAACATGCTGTTTTATAACATAATCGTGTGCTTCAGTCAGAATGAAACATACTGTTTTATAACATTATCATGTGCTTCAGTCAGAATGAAACATACTGTTTTATAACATTATCATGTGCTTCAGTCAGAATGAAACATACTGTTTTATAACATTATCATGTGCTTCTGTCAGAATGAAACATACTGTTTTATAACATTATCATGTGCTTCAGTCAGAATGAAACATACTGTTTTATAACATTATCATGTGCTTCAGTCAGAATGAAACATACTGTTTTATAACATTATCATGTGCTTCAGTCAGAATGAAACATACTGTTTTATAACATTATCATGTGCTTCAGTCAGAATGAAACATACTGTTTTATAACATTATCATGTGCTTCAGTCAGAATGAAACATACTGTTTTATAACATTATCATGTGCTTCAGTCAGAATGAAACATACTGTTTTATAACATTATCATGTGCTTCAGTCAGAATGAAACATACTGTTTTATAACATTATCATTTGCTTCAGTCAGAATGAAACATACTATCAAGCTAATTTCATACATTCCTCTATCTTTTTATATCCTGAAAATCCCTCCTAAATTTGAACAATTTCTCTTAGGTGAATTACAGCTTTCACTCATGAAGAGGTGTGTTATATTGTTTACATTTATCAGAGTTCTACCATAACGCTTTTTTGTATGTTTGTTCTATATAAAGAGACATAAGTTACTGTATTATTGCATATGCAGTACATATGTGAAATACACACCACTTTGCCATCTTAGGGAGGGTTTTTTTTTGGTTAGTGAGATTTATTGATTTTAAATGCTACAAAATAAGAAAAATGGACTAATAGTTTCGAGAACTTTAAATGCACCAAAGCCACTGAGAAAAATGTTATTACAAAATATATACAGTATATTAATTCTCAGGGTTCACAGTCTGGAACCTGGACTGCCATGGCATTTCTTTTCTGCATTATCTCACAGACCAATCTCTACTCATTCGCAGCCCTTCCTCCCCCAGACGAATAAACAAAGCCCACCCTAGCCCCCTGTTGTTTCGGTCATCACCTCATTTGACATGCAAATGTTAGCAACCCAAGTAGCGGGTTAGCTCCTCTTCTCTTAAACTAGCCCCAAATTTGGCTGGGCGTTCTAGTGTAAAAAACTCTTTGTTTATCCATCCATCCATCCATTTTCTTCTGCTTTATCCGTTGCCGGGTTGCGGGGGCAGCAGTCTAAGCAGAGACGCCCAGACTTCCCTATCCACACACACTTCCTCCAGCTCGTCCGGGGGGACCCCAAGGCGTTCCCAGGCCAGCTGGGAGACATAGTCCCTCCAGCGTGTCCTAGGTCTTCCCTGGGGCCGTGCCTGGAACACCTCCCCAGGGAGGCGTCCAGGAGGCATCCGGAACAGATGCCCGAGCCACCTGAACTGGTTCCTCTCGACGTGGAGAAGCAGCGGCTCTACTCCGAGCTCCTCCCGTGTGACTGAGCTCCTCACCCTATCTCTAAGGTAGCGCCCAGCCACTCTGCGGAGGAAGCTCATTTCGACCGCTTGCATCCGCGATCTCGTTCTTTCGGTCATTACCCAAAGCTCATGACCATAGGTGAGGGAGGGAACGAAGATTGACCGGTAAATCGAAAGCTTTGCCTTTCGGCTCAGCTCCTTCTTTACCACAACGGTCCGATACAGCGACCGCATCACTCCGCACGCTGCACTGATCCGCCTGTCAATCTCACGCTCCATTCTTCCCTCACTCGTGAACAAGACCCCGAGATACTTGAACTCCTCCACTTGAGGAAGGACCTCTCCACCCACCTGGAGAGGGCAAAGCACCTTTTTCCGGTCGAGCACCATGGCCTCGGATTTGGAGGTGCTGATTCTCATCCCAGCCGCTTCACACTTGGCTGCAAACCGCTCCAGTGCAAGCTGCAGGTCCTGGTTCGTTGGAGCCAACAGGACAACATCGTCTGCAAACAGCAGAGATGAAATCTTGTGGTCTCCGAACCGGACCCCTCCGACCCCTGGCTGCGCCTAGAAATTCTGTCCATAAACACAGTGAACAGAACCGGTGACAAAGGGCAGCCCTGTCGGAGGCCAACATTCACTGGGAACAGGTCTGACTTACTGCCGGCAATGCGAACACAGCTCTGGCTCCGGTCATTCAGGGATCGGACGGCCCTCAGCAGAGGACCTCCGACCCCGTACTCCCGGAGAACCCCCCAAAGGACACCCCGGGGAACACAGTCGAACGCCTTCGCCAAATCCACAAAGCACATGTGGACAGGTTGGGCGAACTCCCATGAACCCTCGAGTATCCGATGGAGAGTATACAGCTGGTCTAGTGTTCCGCGACCGGGACGAAAACCACACTGCTCCTCCTGAATCCGAGATTCGACCGTAGCCTCCTCTCCAGTACCTTGGAATAGACCTTACCGGGGAGGCTGAGGAGTGTGATCCCACGATAATTGGAACACACCCTCCGGTCCCCCTTCTTGTAGAGAGGGACCACCACCCCGGTCTGCCACTCCATTGGCACCGCCCCCGATCGCCACGCAATGTTGCAGAGACGTGTCAGCCAAGACAGTCCTACAACATCCAGAGACTTTAGATAATCAGGACGGATCTCATCCACACCCAGAGCCTTGCCACCATGGAGGCTGCCAACTACCTTGGTGACCTCAGCCAGGGAGATGGATGTATCTGCCCCAACATCCTCGGCCTCTGCCTCTGTAACGGAGGACGTGACGGGGGATTGAGGAGAACCTCAAAGTATTCCTTCCACCGCCAGACAATATCCCCAGTCGAGGTCAGCAGCTCTCCACCCGCACCATACATGGTGTTGGCAAAGAACCGCTTCCCCCTCCTGAGGCGCCGGATGGTTTGCCAGAATCTCTTCGAGGCCGACCGATAGTCATGCTCCATGGACTCTCCGAACTCCTCCCAGTCCCGGGTTTTTGCCTCTGCAAGCCCGGGCCGCGGCACGCTTGGCCTGCCGATACTGGACAGCTGCCTCAGGAGTCCCCCGAACCATCATGGCTCGATAGGACTCCTTCTTCAGCCTGACAGCATCCCTTACTGCCGGTGACCAGCACCAGAGACCTTGCGACCACAGCTACGAGCCGCCGCATCGGCGATTGAGGCAGAGAACATGGTCCACTCGGACTCCATGTCCCCCTCCTCCACCG